ATCAGGGTGAGGGAAGGATATGGACCTTATCTGCTTATACAACCAACCTGATGACGGGACGCGGGTCTTAGCTGTGTGCGCCGAGGAACGAAATCATCAGCATGGATGATGTGGAGACCATCTCGAAGAATTTCCTTCAGCTTGACTTATCTGGTGACGGGGCACTTTGGACGAAAGATGCCCTCGCTTGGGAGCTGCAAAGGCTACTCCAGCCGAAGAAGAAAAAGCAGGCCGCTGTCTTATGTGTTCACCCTGCCCGCTCCCCCTCCATCATATTCACAAGCCAAAGCTCAGAAGACGCACATGAGTAAGATTGCTTAGAAGAGAGACCAACCGAGTCTGTTTTGGACTTCAGCGTGGTAAGTCGGGGCCGGCGAGACCGAGTCGTGTAATTGCCAAACCGCGGGGCTGCGAACCCGGCCCCTTGTAGGCCCCCAACCGATGGTCAGCATGTAGGCCTCTCACCACCGGAGGGCCGGTGACTGGCAAATCCCTCCACATGCGAACTGACTGCTCGTCAATGTGTGTTTCAAGGTCTCAAGGTTACCGGAGAGCACTCGTACGCGGCTGGAAAATCAGAACGAACAAGCCTATATACATGCTACCATGAAAGACACCCGAACGAAACCGGGAGAAGGCAAGACACAAGGGAAACTACACGACCAAATCACGGCATCACAGACGGTTCGAAGTGGATAGAACGAGTGAAGGGACTTCTGCGATCAAAAAGCAGCCGCTGACGCAGGGCTTTGGAAGCGACAACAAGCCCACAGGGACAAGCAGCGCAGAGGAACATGACCGAGGTGACAACATGAAAGAGGCGCAGGCTTTCCATCTCACTATCGGAACAGTGCCGGAACAACCGGGACACTCTACACACCAGCTTTTGTGTGGACTGTCGACATGTTGAGAAGTTCGGCCGGCCTCTAGCATAATGCAAAGACCGCCACTTCGAGGACAAGAAGGATCAGAACGAGAGCGACATCTCACAGGCAGAGGCTGTGAAGCTTAGAGCCTCGGCCTGTGCATGTCAGAGGGAATCTAAGGCCTGGCACAGGCTGTGGAGCAAAGGCCAATTGTGAGCTCCAGCGGTTTGCTTAAGCTTTCGCTGCAAGAGTAGCGAAGCTGGCCGAGGTTCTGTTGTAGCGGTAGTGGCAGTGAGTGGTCGCGGTCGTAGTTGTAGTAGTTGTAGTCTTAGATGTAGCAGTCGTCGGCCCGCCGTCGTCATCATAGCCGTCGTCGTTGTGGTGGTAGTAGTAGTAGTAGTAGTAGCAGTAGCAGTAGCAGTAGGTGGTAGGGTAGTAGTAGTAGTAGTAGTAGTAGTAGTAGTAGTGGTAGTGGTAGTGGTAGCGGTAGTGGCAGTGGTAGTCGTAGTGGTAGTACTGGTGGTGGTGGTAGTAGTAGTAGTAGTGGTGGTAGCAGTAACAATGGTCGTGGTCGTCGTCTTTGTCGCCAGAGGCAATAGCAGAAGCCGTGGCAGCAGTAGCAGCCGCAGTAGTGGTGGTTTCGTCTTGATGTGACACCGGCCTTAGTGGCAGCAGTGGAACGTGGTAGTAAGCGTGGTAGCAGTACTATTCGTCGTCATCGTCGTAGTGCAGTAGTAGTAGTAGTCGTCGTCGTCGTCGTCGCCGTCGCCTTCGTAGTCGCAGCAGCATTCTTCCCAAGGAAGTTCGCTGGAAGCCATTGACATGAAGACCGCAGGTTGCATTGAGCTCGCCGAGCTTGAAGCAGCCCTGCATAAGTGGCATGCTGGCACATCAGGTGCAACCATATGTGGGCTTGGCAAATTAAACTGGGGGCACCTTGTTGATGGATCCTGAGAACGATGATCCCATTATGTAGGGATCTATTTTGGGATCCCGATTATGCTTCACTGTTTCGTTGCTTGCAGATCTGGCCGCTGAGGGTTGGTGTCGTCACATCGGAAGAGTATGTCAGGTGTCCCGGCTCTTTAGTTTCGGATTGGCGTGCCCTTGACCTGGATGCCGTGCTCTTGAGGAGATTCTTTTTGAAGCTGGATCTCAATCGTGATGGCAAGATCAGCTTTCAGGAATACAAGGAGCACCCTGTCTGCAGTATTTCAGCTCCCCTGGCATGCAGTTGCGCCGCTGTATGTTTTCTGCCCTTCGGAAGCTAGGCTCATTCGCAAGCTTTGCTGCAAAAGCCGTGCGCCTTCGGACTCTCTGGACCCCGAAGCGGAGAATCTGGAGCCGCAACCAGGCCCGTGAAAGCAGTGACAGAACCAAGTTTTTAAAGTGGGGAGCGTGGGTCACCCCAAGGAGGTGCAACCCAGGTGATCCCAGGTGTCTCACATTTTATTCAATTCTGGCTCCTCATGTTTGCAGCATGCGGAGCCTTTGTGGTTTCAAAATTCAAATCAGTTGTCCTACCAAGCTCCACATTGTGAGCAGATGTTTAATGCACTTCCAAGGCAGTGGCAATGTGAGACGTCCTGCCCATGGGCAGACATCACATATATCTTATGTAGATCACATCTGGATGTTTCACATTGCCAATGTCAACACCGTAGTGACTTTGTGGTCTTTGCCCTTGCTCTCGACAGGGCCAGGAGACCGAGGCCGGATCCACTTCACAGCTTCCTGCACGAAGTCGTCTCACGGTGTTCCGTGCCGGCTTTCTCATGGTAGCATAACTCTGCCTCGCGGCACAGAGCACTAGAACTACATGATGTTCAATGCTCAGTGCTCCTTGCGCCAGCATGGGTGAATGATGGCCTCAAACTTCTGCATGGAACGTTCGACAAATCCGAGAGAGCAGTCGTGCCATTGTATCCACTATGGCTCTAATGTTAAGCCCAGACATTGAGCGAATTATCGCCACGTAGGGGGCGAGAGCGAGAGAAAGGGGAAAGAGACGAGGGCGAAAAAAGGAAGTAAGTGTAAAACAACTACACACTGGCAGCAGCCGCCGAGAGTGCCACAAACAGCGGGCGTCCTCCCTACCGGGGGGTTCCCCCCTCCGGCCCAGTGAAAGACAGAGGAACTCCAAAGACAGAGAAAAATGGAGAGACAGAGAGAGTGCTGAAAGAAAAAATAAGAACAACATAAAGAAAGTCAGAAATAACAAGATGATGAAATACATTTATAATTGAATCAAGTGTGTGTATGTATGTGTGTGTGTGTGTGTCTGTGTGTGTTTGTGTTTGTATGTGTCTTTTTGTTATCTCTCTGTCTCTCTCTCTCTCTTTCTCTCCCCCGTCTTTTCTTGCTCTGCAAGTGCGCAGGAACGTACATGCACGTATTCGTGTGTGCGTGTGTATCTGTTGTGCAAAATCAAACATAAAGTCAAATTATATATATATATATGGATGCATTATACATATATGTGTATGTATGTATATGTATACGTATATACCGATACGCGCATGTACGTGAATAACACAGTGTGGCATGGCTGGGCATGGCATATCATGAGTTACGTAAGTCTTTTTTGCCTCATCTTACCTCGCCCTCTCGTATCTTATTTGTATCTTAGTTGAACATGGCGGTCCATACCATGCCATGCCACATAGCAGTGCAGGCCAGGCTCGAACAGGCCACGCCAGATCATCATGCCAGCATGTGTCCGTCCGGCAGCCAGCCAGCCATATACAAGTACAAAGATTTCACACATGCACACCTACATACAGATACATACATACAAACGTATGTATACATATGTACATATATATACATATTATGTACCATATGTACTTTTCGTATTCCGTTGTAATATGTTATATCACACTATTGTATCAGAAACTGTATTTCTTGTTGTATGCCAACCGATATTGCAATCTATGAGGTTGTGTTATATTCTCGCATGCATCACGTTAGCTTGCTGTTGTATATGTTGTACAATATATATATATATATATATATTTGTCTATGTATGTATGTATATATATACACCGCACATATACATACACGCATCTTACATCAAATCATATTATGCCATGTCGGATCATGTCATGTTGTCATGTCATGCCATGTCATATCAGGCCTTTTGTATGGAGAAAATTGTGTCATATCCAATATTGAATAATCTAATATCATATAGTATATTATAGTGTTAGAAATAGATAGATAAATAGATATATATATATATACACAGAGAAAAGGGCCCTACATAGAAACATGTATGCATACGTATATATGTTTATATGTAGATACATAAAACCTGTTGCTTGATGCGTGCTATTGTATGCTGAACATCGTATGCTGCATATGATATGTTGCAAGTCATGTGTCAAAGGTCATGTAATTCATGTTGCACAAAACACAGTATGTATTGCGCAATATTGTGTATGAGATATGGCAGGTGGGATTTACACACTTATATATGTGATCTATGCCATCCCATAACAACTGCATATGTAACAGTACGTGTGCACAACTCATATCTTATGTTGTGTTTATATATTAATAGACATATGGTATATTGTACATCATGTACTACATATTGTATGTTTGATACAGTACATATGTATGTATGTATGTATGTATGTATGTATGTATGTATGTATGTATGTATTGTCGTATATTTTGGTCTGCAATATCCAATATCACATGTGGTACATCATGTTTACTGGTGTGTGGTATATGTTGTATGGTAGTATATGAGATATTTTGTATGATTTGTTATGTGCTGTGCGCGGTCTATGATGACTGATGTGTTTCATGTGATGTATCATGTATTCATTATGCCGTCTAACTTATACAATGTAGCCAAGGTATACTATAGTTTTTGTGTTAGATATTTTATCTAATCTACGTTTTGTACTATGTATTATATATATATATATAAAGGTATGTATGTAATATTACATTGTATTTGTCACACGTTATGTGTTATATATGGCAGGTTCTAGGTAGTATTGGTTATGTATTGCATGTATATATCCTTTGAATACGTACCCCTGGATATTTGCAAAGGTGACTGTTTCAGTTTGCGCCTCCTTGGGTGCTCAGTCTGCGAAACTTCAGCTGGGCGCGTGTGAGGTCCGGCCTCAGATGAGGAAGGCGCCGACGGAGCTGTGAGTCCCAAACTCAGTGAGCCTTGCATGGTAAACGTGAAGCAACAGTGTAGCCTCAGAAACCCCTTAAACCCTGACTTGGCGTGGGTTGGCTGTTGGTTGCTGGGTTCAGGGTTTGCTGGAGCTGCACCTGGGATTGTTGTCGGTTAGAAGGACCCAGTTGTGAAGCCTTACCTGCCTTGCTCGGAGTGCCAGAGTCGAAGCCAGAAACCCCTCGTTGCCTTGTTGCCTGATTACCAACCGTTTCGGCAACTGTTGGCGCTGATGCTCGCTCGGATTGCCCACGCTGTGAGAGTCGAAATCCTAAGTCCAATCGCCGAAACCCTGCTAAACCCTAAAAATCAAACCTGAAAAACCTCCAACTCTAGACTGGCATATTCTTGCAGTAGGCAGCAAGAAAGAATCCTAAACTCTCAAACCCTACAGTACAGTGACCCTGCTGCGCTCAGGCTTGGATGGGGGCCTCGAGATTCTCGGAAAGGCCGACCGCGTCCAGGGCGCTGCTCGAGACCCAGTTCTTTGCTTTGCCCCGAACTTGCCAGGGAAATTCCAGAAATGCTCCATGGGGTTTCGGGTATTTTCGGGTTTAGGGATTTTTTGTTTAGGGTTTAGGGTCTGCTGAAGCCTGCTGCGCGCCTCCATGTTTCGACTTCGACGTTTTCGGTTCAACATGAGCTCGCAAGAAGTATGCTCAGGAGGGTGAGTTACTGGGTCTCATCCTCAGGGAATCTTCCGACTTGGCAGCTGAGTTGGGGAATTGCGTGGACGGAGCATTTGAAGAGTCATACATGTACTGGGAGTGCGTGCAGGTTATCTGACGTCTCCGGTGCTGGAAGAGAGCTCTTCACGTCTGCCACGCGCAGGGCGTCTCAGTGATGTGCACCGTTTCGCCCTGGGAGCCGTCGAAGGAACGCGTTGGGATGCCGAGGCGAAAGCCCGAAAGGCAACAGCCGCTGCAGAAGCGTCTGCAGCAAGTCCGCAGGACGTGCTTGCTTCTTTTTGACACGGGCGGATTGATGGAAGTTTCGGGGTATTATGACATCGTGACAGATCGGAGTGGCCCAGTCCTTGACGGATGCAAGACAGTTTACATTTGCGAGACGGAAACGCCTTTGAAAAGACACTTCAGTGCTGGACTTGCTACAGAGTCCGCGTGCCATGGCACAGCAAGCAAAGCTAACACTGCGAAGGTAGATCGGGGGTCATCGCTCAGGATGAACAGACACCATAAGGCCATGGGCAGAACCACCAGACGTGGCTCCAGCCTGTTGCACACAACACGTCAGGTGAGTGTTGTAGGCATGATCAGTAAGACATACTTGGGAATGGAGTTGTGTCACTTCAACCACTTGATCAGGCATTTTGGTTGTCTGCGTGTTCCAATGAAGATGCTATAGGAAGCTTTGGGCTTTGTCGAACAGCTGCCCTGATAATTAATGCAGAGTGGCAGTGACAACCCCAGTGGCGACATATGCGGTCATGTTGTCTTCGTTGCTTTTGCCCTTTTAGATGGGCTTTTGCACATCCTTTGCCGTGTGTGCCAACAGTCTTGGCCGGGCGATGCACAGCTACCCCTGCCAGAGTAGTTCTCCACATCCGTTCCTGGCATGGAGATTTGAATCTGAAGCACGCATTAGTCGATCGCTCCATGCCAGAGCACATGCCAACTATTGAGAGGACGGGGTCACCTCGGGCGACGGCTTGTCAGACATCCGAGAGCGGCTCCTGGCAAGCGAGTCCGAGATGCATCCTCAGATGCAGGAAGAGCTGTACGTGTATCTGGTGGCTCTGTGCGGTTCTAAGCAGGTCTGACAACGAGGAGAGGGAGGACTCTGGTTCAGACGAAGAGGGAGAAAGAAGCCATGGCAAGCCTGGGGGTCAGGGCCACAAATGCCACAGATGTTTGCGGTTTTGGCTCCTCTGGAAGCGCGGCTGCAGGTCAAGAAGATCGGGCCCCCTTCAGCTTGCTGCTCATGCTACTTCATCTGAGCCCCAGGCGGGATGCCCAAGGAGCCTCCTGTCTCAGGCTGGTCACAGCTTGCCAAGGAAGGGGAGGCTGCGCCGCTCTCTCGGCTTTCGTTGCAAGTATTGGGGACTGAAGCCTTCAACAGCAACAGTTGCAATCAGCATGTGGCGACTTTTCCATGATTGCATTCGGCAAAAAAAGGTTCGGTCCGGTGCCTACCCGACAGCTGGAGCGGGCTGGGGGCCTGGAGCTTACACTTGTTTGCCTTCGCCATCTCATCTTCTGTCCACCATCACTTACTTTGGTAGCATGAACATGACGTATGTTGACTGGCAGGTGGCGACCGAATACAGGCAGGACTTCAGCTATCCGCTCGAGTCAGCAAGTCGAGCGCATGAACTGGAACTTTTGCACAGAAACTTGGAGCATCGAGTCCTGTCCCCTCGGAAGGCTGCTACATTCGGAGGGCGCTACACGGACCAAGACCGTGGCTTGCTAAATGTGTTATGCTGGCACTGCGACAGGGAAAGCGAGAACCTTTCTAGTCATGAGCGAAGGGAAGACTTGCGAAATGTTTCCGTCCGAGGCCTGCCGGGCTCTCGGCGGATTGCTCGGAGGAAGGCACTGGGCGTGCGGACGAAGAACCGGCTGGATGCAGGCATGTCGAGAGGCTCTAGCTTGAATGGTGGTCTTCGTCCTTGGCACAGGTCGGAACTATGCGTCGCCGGATGACGACCTGCTGGTGTGACATAGCGCATCGAAACAGCGATTGGCATTTCCGAGGGCGTGTGATACATCAGGTGCCGCAAGTGTTCTGGCATACTTTTCAGGGTCATCTGAACCCTTCCACTTCTGCTGCATGCAAGAATGTTTTTGTCATCCATGTGTTGGGCTGTTTCGGAGAGTCAACAAGTTGATCAGGGACACGAAACACGCCGCAAAAGGAAGTGCCACCACTTAAGCACAGTCAGAAAGCAAAACGCAACCAGCTTTTACTTTACTACTCGGGAAGTCTACACATCCCTGAGGCCCATCGTGACATGTCGTCTTGATCAGTTTCAGTTTTCCCACGCCGTTCGCCATGCTGCGACTCGCTTCGGCCGTGCGTCGGTCTGCAGGACGAGGCCCTGCGTGTGGGGGATCACGTAGCAGCCTTTGCAGGAGACAGTCCTGTCAGTGAGGGGTGTAGTTTTCGCTAGAAGCTGCAGTCGAGCGGTGAGCCTGAGCACTCATGGAAACTTGCCATGGACTACCGTTGACCCCCCTTTGTAACGGGCAAATCTGCATTGTGATTCTGTTGCCATGACGGCACCTGCTCTTGTGCCAAGCTACCCTAGCGGCCCCAGCAAGATTTCTCACCGCTCCTTGGCCTTGACGAGGCTTGGTGACTGCAACGAGGCCAAAACAGATAAAGCGCTTCTATGAGGAGGTGTCCATCGAGGAAGTCGGTGGTCTCTTTCGCGTGCTTCTGGACGGCAAGGCTCCAGCCTTGCTCAGTGTCTCAGTCCACCACCATTGCTTAAAGGACCATGGGACTTAGTAAGTAGGGTTATAATTAGGGTAACTATACTTATAACCCCAATTAAGGGACTTATTACCTTACTTACCAAGTCCCATGATCCTCCCAGTGCTCAGCCCTGTAGGTAGTCAAGACGCCAAAAGGCACTACCCTGGACTTGCCTGGGGTCGGCGTTGCACACCGCGTGGCTCGAGAATGGAGGGCACAAGGTGAGAACCTTGAACCCCTGGAGATGCCCTTCACGACCCTAGGCCGGATCTTCACTGTGTCACGTGGTTCAAGGTGTTACGAGGACCGGTGCCAAGTACATGGAAGTGCCTTGCCAGGGTGCACAGCGCTGGACATCACCCAGAAAGACCCAGAGGGTTGCATTGACCGCATGATGCCTTTTCTAGAGATGGACACCGCATCTTGCCACGACAGTATCAGAGCGCCGTAGACAAGGCCATCTCAGAATTCCGCGCCAATTGAAGCAGCATGGGATAAGCAGGGCTACAGTTAGCTACCCACAAATACTTTCGAGTAGCTGCTTGCAACTCCAAACTCATGACCATGCTTATGGCTAGGTAACCATGAGCTTGGAAGTGAGGTATGCTTCCAAGTCGACGAGGAGTTCCTGGCAGAGCGACAGGAGCAGGAATGGCGTCCACTGCGGGAATGGTTCCAACAGGAGCCTTTTGACCGCATGCTGCAGCAAAGCACTGCTTGTCTTTGTTGGTCCATGGCCTGTAACACTGTGAAATAAGATAATGTCTGTATATATATATATATATAGTAGGTAGGGAGAGAGAGTGTATAGCAATGTAATACATTGCGAAATAGTATCCGACCATTTGGCAGGTACGCTGTGAAGCTTGGCGTGGCGACAGGACTTGGCTCGCCGGGTCACCCCGAGGACTGCGGACTCTGAGTCAGTTTGTTTTTTAGGTTTATTGTATTTTGAACGTTTTAGTCGGCGCTGTCTTGAATAACACCATGAGATGGGCGATGCGTGTTGTGGTGATACTCAGGCGATTGCACAGATGCAAAAAAAGGTTATAGAACAGATTCTTCTGTGGCGATGTCTTAATCGCTCAGGAAACCATGCTTCGGGTGGCTGAGCAGCTCTTGACTCGTGATGCCTGGGAGTTATGTGCTTTGGAAATTGCGACGCAGACTGTGGCTGGGCGTGTATTCAGCCCAGTGCTGTCGGACCAGCAACAGGCTTCGCCAGGGGTTCTCGACCGGTTGCTTTGCTGTTTAGGCCAAGTCGCTCATCGTCGCCAGCGCGCTGCTGGATCGCAGCACCTCCACTGAGGAAGCTATGCGTTGGGCACAACTGGAAGAGAACTTCCAAATAGAGCGTGCAGGGCTGAGGAATCATGCAAGGTGTGTGTGTGTGTGTGCGCGCTTTCCAGGCTGTCCATGTCGCTTGAACATTGAGTTTTGTTCTGTGCGGCTTAAGCCTTGAGGTTGGGGACTGGTCGAAGGCGACCATGACGTGACCGAAAGTGAGATGCTGAAGTGGTTTGGGGCCTGCAGACAGTTTGGGAAGGTGCACAGGCACGCAAGCGAGCTTTCCGAATAAGCGCGAGAAGGATGCAGGTAGAAGCTGGGTGGCCCTTCGAAAACGATCGTTTGCTCCGAGACCGCTTGCTGTTCAGTTCAGGGTCCTAGCCGAACAGACCGGACAGAACTGTGGCCGCAGATCATCAAACGAACTGAAGCAAGGTTCCTGATTTCAATCGCAATTTGTCAGAGTTCCGGCCGCTCAGAGCTCCCAAGCTCTCGTTTAAGTGAATCGGAGTGTAAGCTGTAGGTGCACGCATGGGTCGTGTCCTTTGAAATGCTCCGATTCTCTTCTGCCATGGCTCCAGAGAAGAACCTGAACTCACGAGACACGTGAGCAATGATCACAGGCAATACTGCACCTACTGCACGATGCAGCGCGGGATGTGTTAAACCTGCGCCCATGCTTATGCCACGTCGATACTTTACCGATGACAGCCAGTGGTAGTCTAGTGGTAGTGGTGGTGTCAAGCAGATGCACTGACAGCTCTGAAGCACTGCGAAGCCGATGCTCTGAGAAGGCAGGTCCGTACGCTCTGCATCGCCTGGACTTCCTGGCACGGGAGTATGCCGGGAACGGCAAGACGAGGTTATGGCAGGCACCTCATGAAGCTTAGCTGCAAGCGCTGTTTTTTTGCGACTGTGCTTCACCTTCAAAGCTTTAAGATTTTCCAATCTCCTTTGTAAGGTGTTTTGTGCTGTCCTTGGCACCATTTGTACTGCTGGGAGACATGGCTTTAGTTGCTCCGTTGGCTCGGCTTCCGCCGTCGAGCACCTCCGCCGAGATAGCACATGTCCTGCGGCTTGCCTGCATTGATAGTAATCCGTGTATTAACAACGATTGTCCTAATAGTACCGTTTCGTACAGAAAACGTGAGACATACTCTGACTCTCCATCCACGGATGACTTTGACTACCAGGATACGCGATGGCATCGTTGTCTTGGATCAGTGGACCTCGCCGGAGACAGTGGCAGCAGCCTTGAAGGACAAGTTGTGACGGGATGCTACAGCTTGAGAGAGCCAAAACAGCCCTTACCAGGGTCCACGACGATCCAGGCACGCGATGGAGCAAATGGCTCAAGATGGATCGTGCAAACGGAACAATTGCAAACCGAAAGTGGTTCTGAGAGTCCTCGGCTCCAGCAATTTCGGGAGGTTTTGCGCTGGGAGTAGTCCGAGCAGTGAAGAGGGTGGAGGCTGACATGCAAAGCACGAGACCCTCAGAGGTCGTGGGCAAGGACAACACATGATCGTAGAGTGTAGCGTCGGAAAGAAGTTCGACACTTCGGTTTGTGCGAGGAGCTCGAGACGGGCCGCATGTCCGAAGGGCGCAACGTGCGCTTCGGAGGCAGTACGCAGCTACTGAAGTGGCCATTGGATGCTGAGAAGGAGTGCGCATCTATCAACATCATGCATGCTCGATCAGTCTTGCGTGTTGCGAATTACTGGAGTTTGTTAGGAGGCTTATTCCGGTCGGTGACACTTTTGCTAAAGCCACTTTAGTCCAACAAAACGGCATGGCACGACAAGAAGCTATGAGCGCTGCCACAGAAAGATTCTCTGAAATCATGCCAACTGGCAGACAACAGGATAGGTTTATACTTGAAGGATCTGGCGATTTAGCAAGCAGATCAAAGTTAGGGTTGTGGCAAGTACTTCCAGTTTGCTTAGGGGCCAATTGCGCATGAACCCGCGTTTTCTCAGCCTGCGGTGCCTTGGAGGAGCCGGCGTTACGGAGCCTTGCCCAAGATGCGGTGTTACAGGAAGCCATTGAGCTGGCCCGAAGGGCGCATGGCGAGGGCTCGCACCACTCCATCGCCTGGGAGGCCCGTGTTGTGTAAGACTTTGTAACTCTTTGCAGCTTTGCTTCCCGGAAGGTTCGGCTCTTGATCCTGGCACCCGGCACCCCAGAAGGCCAGTTGGCCCTGGTATGTCTTGGCCGTGAGCATGCCGTTCTCTTGTCCACCCGCCTGCAACAGGTGACATGCACCGCGATGTCGTGGACACTTCGAAGGTCCCGCTGGAACGACCGCTGCAATGGGGCCTAAACACCATATGGGCCGTGGATGACTTCACGATGGACAACGGAGCCACGAGATTCGTGCACTGTCCTAGCTATGGATGAATCGGAGAGCCTAGGTTGTATCTGTCTAATGGCTAGCTCCCATCGTGCTCCACCATGCAGCTGAGGTGCCCGGAAGCCATTCTGGAAAGTATCCTCAGGGTCACTGGTCGGGTGAACATCCAGAGGCACAGGAGGCTGGTGCGGCCTCGATGCCAGCGGGCTCGGTGTCCACGGCAGGTTTTACGACATGACTTCTGCAGACCAGTTTACCCGATGTTCTGTACCTGTCCGGCCAGGTGGTTGTTTATTATGCCAGCACTTTACATGGAAGTGGTGAGAATCGATCGCCAAAGCCGCGAACAGGTGCCCGAAGTCCGTGAGAGCTTGTGCGCAAAGTGCCTGACACTGTTTCTTGACAAACGATCCCAAAATGCGGCCAAGCTTGAGCTTTGAGCGCTCTTGGAGTCTGCAGAGACTGCCTGGAGTTACTGAGGTTTTCTTTGATTTTTTTTGTGTTTTTTGTTTGGTGGGGGGCCTCTCCGGAAATTGCGCGCTTGGTCAGCCGCCCCAAGCCGATCCAAGACAGACCGGAGCTGTGGATCTAGTTTTTGTTCGCCCGAAGTCCTGTCCTGGTGATGCCGAGTTGCGAGTGGCAGAAAAAGTATAAACCAGAACGCGAGAAATTGCAATGGTGCAGGACTGAACTTCAATTATGCCTTTGTTGACGAAGCCGGTGCCAGCAAGACACCCAGGAAAGTACCAGCAGATCTCACAAGGCAGGTACTCGCATGAAGGGGCCAGCTGCCGTTTTGAGCGGTCCTGTGCTTTAAACTCAGGACCGTTTGACTGGGGCTTCTGAGTGGCGATAGACGACTCAGCCGGCTTCGACGCAAAAAGGTCCAACCGGTACGGGCATTTTCCGTCCTCCTGCTACTGCTCCTACTTTTCGCAGGCCGATGGACCAGCAGATGCGCGTTCAAGCATTTGTCGATGCACTGCCGTGACACCAGCACCTGCGCCAGGAAGGGAGTTCCAGATGCATGGGTCAGCACCGCATCCTGTGTTTTGTCATTTGGCGATTCGCCGCTCAAGCAGGGCGCCCCCAAAATGTTAGTCGGGCAATCAGGCGAAGATATGAGGGAAGTAGCTTCTGCAGGCAACTGCAGAGAACACGGCGGCTGCAGCTCTGCAACAGACTGCCAGATGACTTGCCAGACAGACGAGATGCAAATTGCTGTTTCTGTCGTGTGGATGAGTGGAGCCACGTTGCTGAGAATGCCTCTTGATCTGTCGAAGGGTTAGAAGTTTTGGAGGGTGAGGGGGTCTGCTGGGGAGCTCATCGTCAAACGACTTCTCTGCAGGCTTCTTGCTGCTACTTTTCAGGTGTACATAGAACTCGCCCAACTGAAACAGCTGTCTGAACACTTATAGCTTTGTGTCTTTGTTTCCTTTCCGGCCTCAGTTCTGAAGCTGCCTCCGTGCTGACAAAGGATGCTCGATCGTGGGGCATGTCTCAGAAGTATTTTCCATGGCCTTCCTTCAGACCGAGGCAAAGCGCATCAGTCCCGGAGCCTGTAGCGCTAGCTCAAGCTGCCACACGTTAGACAAGCTCATCTGCAGGCTGTCTCACACTACTTGCACCTACCGGGCGCTTGGTCTCTCCATCCAGCTGCATTGCTGAGATCACTGCGCCAGCAGATAAACACCTGGTGCTGACGGCATCTTTGACGGCATGGTGTGGTGATCAGCATGAACGTGCCTTCTCGGCTTGGCTAAGTCTTGCCAGCAGCGGCAGCCGGACTAAACTTGCCAAGCCTCCCAAGGCCATCGCACATGCTGTGCAGAGCACCTTGGCATCAGAGTCGGGGCAGAGTCGGCCGCCTTCTTGGACGATGGTCTTACCCGGTCTTATCTATGAACCTACATGTGCTGACCTGCACTGGCTTGCAGATGAGGTGTTACGTCTGCGCAGTGTGCATTCGCAGTCGTAACATCTTCGGGGGCAGTGGTGTCATGGGGTGATGCTGATCTTGGTGGCAATGCCGGCCACGTGCAAGATCAGCTGATGAGCAATGTTCTGCGCCGCTTGGACCCGGAAGCTGTCAAATCAGGCTTGTAAATTCTTTACTGAATGCTGCCTGGAGGTGTCTATGCCAATTTGTTTGCCTTTGCTGCGGTCAAGGATGACGGGTCTGTGGTGACTTGGGGCTTGGCGGCGGCTGGAGGTGACAGCAGCTCCGTCAGGCAGCAGCCGAAGCCATTCCTAAGAGCTTCAATGGTCCAGAGACGCTAAAAAGCTAAGACTTAAGACCATAGCTGCAGTGCTGTTTATAAGTGAAACATGATGAAGCAAACACGGCAGCCGCACTTTGTGAAACGTAAACAGAGCGGGAGCGGAGGACACAACTTTCGACTGGGGTCTGCACTATCTTCTCCACCCGCTCGGCCTTTGCAGCCTTGAAGGACAGGCCGATGCTGCAAGGATAAGACTTGACATGCACCGGAGAGACGGGCTCCTGAAAACTGAGGAAGATGGCTCGGTGGTAACATGGGGAAACGTGCAATCTGGTGGCGGGCCTCATCCGTGCACGGGAGCTGTACAAAGCATTTCTGCCACAGATGCTGCATTTGCGGCTCTTACCAGGACTTCCGGCGTGCACGCCTGGGGTGATCCTGCCGCCGGCGGACATCCACACGAAGTTTCTGCAGACTTAGCCGGCGGTGTGCTAGCAGTATTTGCGTGTAAGTGCGCGTTCGCCGCCATGAAGCATGATGGTTCTGTGGTTTGTTGGGGGGCTGCTGTTGCCCGCCAGGGCTTTGACAGCGTTAGATGCAAGTTTGGCAACATGCAAGTACGGCACATTGCTTCGACTTCCAACGCATTTGCAGCCCTAATGGCTGGAGGATCCGTCATTTGTTGGGGGGATCCCGCCTGCGGCGGAGACTCTTCAGGGGTGGACGAGCATCTCCAGGACGACATCGTAAAGATATACAGCAACGAAGTGGCTTTTGCTGCCGTGAAGCGTGGTGGTGTGGTGGTGCCTTGGGGAGGACACTATCTCGATTTGGATTTATGTTCCACCGGACAGCGTCTGGATGGTGTCGAGCAAGTTGCCGCAACGCGCTTGGCCTTCGCAGGGCTTAAATCCGATGGCACCGTTGTGACCTGGGGGCACCGTAACCGGGGAGGAGACAGCAGTGCCGTTGCTCGGCAGCTCCGAGAAGTGAGGAAAGTCTGTGCTTCAGACAGCGCCTTCGCTGCAGTCACCGTTTCCGGTGCTGTGGTTACATGGGGTGTGAAGGATGAAGGAGGCAACTATTGCTCTGCCGATGAGCTCCTTGAGAGCGATGTTCATGACGTGCACTCTACATGTAATGCCTTTATGGCCATCAAGTACGACGGATCCGTTGTCGCGTGGGGCGGTCGTCGGTTTGGTGGGCTCGTTCCCGCTTGTGCAGGATTGCACATCTCTTCCGGCGACGAGAAAAGGGACCGAGCTACTGCACAGCAGGTATTTTGGCAAGCCTTCTGTTGCGATTCAAGCATGGGAGCTGGACTTTGCCGCCTGGCTCAAGGTGCAGTCGCTGCACGTTTCACCAACTGCTGACTCGATACCTCTGCTAGTCGGACACCGCTTTAGGTTATAGCAGGCACATACTAAACCCTAAACCCTAAACCCTAAACCGACAGAGTGCCCATCAAAGGTCCCGAAACTATTGCACCCTCGAGCATGCTGTGAGCCCAGGACCTAGGAAGAAGGAGCCAAAAGGAAACAATCAGGAAGTGCCGAGGGATCCGTCTTTGCTGGATGGTCAAGCTGCCGCCCAAAGGGAAGGCAGACAAAAGAGAAGCACGACTAAGCCGAACTTCATGCGTTGCACGCAGACGTCCCAATTTCTGTGATCATCCAGGTGCCCGAGAGGTTCCGCGCCTGCAGCACCCATCTCGCATGGTTGGCCGCAGAGAAGGAAGTGCAGGACGTCCGGCAACTGGTACATGTCAGTGGGGATGAGGGGTGATATGTAGCGTGAGGAGACGTTCAGGGTATTCGAAGGCATTGGCTGGTCGGCGGAGATTTTGGACAAGCAGCCTATGCTGGGCCAGAATCATGTGCAACATCAGCTTGCCATACCATTAGTCATCATCACCAGCAGGTTAAATGCCACCTACTCGAAAGTGCACGGTTGGTGATGAAGAGGTCTTGACAACACCTGAAGACTGCAAGATATGCCACAACCATGAGTTGAACTCAAGTCAAAGTTGTATGGAGGGCGCTCCAGGAGTGGACAGCCGCAATTCTGCTTTGAAAAGCGTTTTCAGGTTGCACGGAAGGTTCGCTAAGTCGCATCTGTGAGAGCTTGCTGAATAGATGAGCTTGCCAGGAGCTGGAGAAGCAATGCGCTGCACAGCAAGAGTTGGAGTCAAAACTCAAGCTGATGCAGAATCGGTTGAAGGCTCGGGGAGTAGATGTCGCAGGAGCCCGAAAATTTCCTGACCCATATAGTGATGTGGTCCAGCGCTTCAAACCCGCGAGGGCACCTCATGTTGCACCATTCCCTGTGTCTGGTGTAACCCGGCCCCATCCCATGCATCATCTCATCATGTTTCACTCGCTTCGTCCACAGGAGATTCCTGATACGTGGCTTACGCTGGCACGACATCCCGACTACTATTATAATCTGGATTTTAATTGCAAGCAGTCTACCCACCGAGGCTGGTGAAATGTGAAGACCCTCTCACAAACATCAACTGTACATCGTCGACAGGCCAAGCGTTTGCGACTAGTGGTGCACTGCCCGTTTCGACGACTGAAACATACGGCAACGAGAACACTGGACCAGCACATCAAAGCATGCGTGCGCGGGCGTGCGCGTGTGTGTATGTATGGGGGCGGGGGAGACTCCTGCCGCAGAGGCTATGCGACAAGGATCTTCCACACGGCTAGATGTCGTGGCCTGAATTTTCATGCTGGTATACGGTGACGACATGTGGTGACTCTTTTCAACCAGTGGCTGAGGCCGTCATGCAGATGATCGAACATCGCAAGGCTCTGGGGCACATTGAAAGACGTGGCTCTAGCCTGACACTGCTGCGAAGGTAGCTCTTTACTTATTTTCGTGGCTTTTGGTAGCTGAAGCCTACTTAGCTGTCGCGGCAGCTGCAATTTGCCATCCATGAGAACTTGTCGTTCGGTGCAGGCAGAGCTTCTCCTTGTCAAGGAGAAATTAAGCCAGCTCGAAGCTCGCAAAGACGCCGCAAGCCTCAGTCGCTTTGGCTTGTGAGTGTCACTTCGGAGATGTTTCGATGAGGAGTGCTCCTGTGCGTGCACAGGAGCCGCCGAAGTATCCAGCGCTGACCAATGCGCAGCCTCTGGGCCTGGCTCTGACCCAGGCGGTGAAGGAGGGGTGTGGGCCTGGTGGGGGTGGGGCAACACGCAGTAGGGCCCAGTAGGGGGGAGGGGGTGAGCCCCAAGAAAGCTTCGAGCGACCTCGTTTGGTGAGGAGATGAGGAAGCGCACCCTGAGCAGGAAGAGAGAGGCTCGCTTTCCTAGAGGGCTCCCGCACAACAGATGGAACCATGCTTTGTTAGTCATATTTCGGGGCGGGCTGATCGATCTCGAATGATCTCGACTTCTCTGCCTGTCAGGAACCCAACCCATTGTCGCTGAAGCAGCCTGCCGCCTGGCCGTCGCTGTACAGCATCGCCGATCTTTGGCTCGCGCGACTTGAACTATCTTGGTGGGTCAGCTCGAGTTTCGGTTTGTGCGGTTCGGTGGGGTCCTGCTTGCCGTTCAGTCAGGAAAGCAGAGCTAGAGCATGCTCTGGCTTGGCGCCTGGATGCCTCTGATAAATCCCGGCCCAAGCGCTGCTTGACTCAAAGCTGTTGCGAGCAAGAGTCGTTTGTTTGGAGGCGATGGTTCATTGTATCTAGGACGTCGAGTGGAGAGAACCGCATGGAAGCTAAGGATATGTGCAATCTCCAGAGCTTCTGCGGCCTTCTTAGAGTGTTCCTCTTGCACCCGCGATATTCGTTCTGCAGCTTCCGGACCATGGTTTTGGCCCAAAGTTTAGATAGCGATCCTTGATGTCAACCTCCCCGACTTCCCAACCACCACAAACAGCCCATGTGGCGCAGCACGCTCTGCCCACCAGCGTGGGCAAACGCGGACTGTGTTTCGCTCCGCATGGGCGGCGTCATGGCTTCTTGGCCAAGCATGTCCCATTTTGTGTTTGTGCTGTTGCAAGCCTTGGTCGCTCTGCTCTTACTGTTGTAGCCGACGGCAAATAAAGAAGTGGACAATAGCTTCCTGACTAGATTCTGATTTGAAGCGCTGGGCAAGCGTATCCCATCCTGCGAATTCGGGCGCCATTTCCGAAAGCTTAGCTCGTCGGCTCTGGACAGTACCGCATGCTTTCGGGCCTCAGGTATAGAGTTGCTTGTGACGCTTCGGATCGGAGGATCTTGAAACAAGCGAGGCGCACAGTTGTTGTGAATCGTCCAGTGTATTCAGGACGCCTTCCAACATCATTTATTCCCATTTGGCCAGATGGTAACTCTTCGCCTGTACCAGACGCTTGTCTGTATGCAGATAGGGCAAGAATTCTGAAGAAGACACTCGCAGTATCTCACAGTTTGACTTCGAGCAATCGCTTCACGCTCGCCGACGAACCTGAGGTCTGTATTTCGCTTCTTGGAAGCATTTGCCGCATCTCCGCATCACGACAGGCACTTGCAAGCGTGGTCGAACGACATTGTGGGGCCGTCAGGCTTCGAAAGAGATGGGCAAGCTGCGAGCAGCGACATCCTGCGACGCACTGGTGAGCAGCTTGAAGCCCTGCGCCAGTTGGCCTGCCTTGTGAACTACCAGAGATGCTGGTCGAGGGTGGGCATGCAAGCAGTCAGTGCAGCGCACATGTGCAAAGCGTAGACCCTGAGGGCCGAGCACAATCATGGAGACGCGGCGTGCAGAGCTTGTGTCGGACGCTGCTGGCACACCAGCTGTCTGCGAAGCTTCTGCCTGGCCTCTGTGCATCGCTTGTAAACAAGGCCAGAGCTGCCAGCAGATGTGCTAGAGTAGACACGTGAGATGTCTTCTTGTTGCCTGCGGAGGGGCCAGTGCGGCATGGCAGAGATCGGTTGAAAGCAGTTCTGGGCATGCAAGATGGTCTGAAGATGCTGGCAGAGGCAGCCTTGCCATCATCCCTCGGCTTGTCTCTGTCTCGTGGATGCAATTCACGGTGTATAGGTAGTATTATTAGGGGTACCCCTTAAAGGGTACCCCTTCTGAACCCTACTTTTGGCTCTCTTAAAAGGGACCTTATTGAGAGGGTCTATATCCCCAAGGGTCCCCTAATCCTAGCTCCCAGTGAACTCGGGGGTGCCCAAATCGTCCTTCCAAGCTTTGGGCGACACTTGCAGCCTCGTTCTGTGGTGTTCACCTCACCTGTTGCCCAGGCAGGACGACAGAAAGGCACGACTAGATGATTCGAAGATCATCCGAGAGCTTCTGCAGCTGCTTGAGCAAGACCGGCAGAGTCTTGGAGCAGTTTGCCGGGGTGTCGGCTTACGGTAGGAGGGGTTCCATACTTAGGCCAGTTGTGAGTTGCAAGCTTTCTCAGGACGCTCAGATCCTTCAAAGGACAGGCAAGCCACAGCGAGGAACTTCTGCAGCACCTGACCAGCCGTGGACTAGGCTTACTGGAGCATCTGGACCAATTCGCACAGCACTACCCAGCCGAGATTCTGCAGATGCCGTTCCAGCTGCTGTACTCAGCAAGCTTGTCGCCTGCGGGCACCTGTCAGCACGACAAGAGTCCGAGACTCATACCCCCACCGGAAGACCGCTGGTTCCGCACGAAGGTGGATGGTACACGCTATTACAGTCCTTGGCCCAGCTCGACCGATCTCCTCTTCCGTTGGGCGACAGCAGGAGGTCGCCCCTCTAACTGGGCCCGATCCTCGGCACATGTGACGCTGTCGACGTCTGCACGACCGCTAGCGCAAGCGACTTCTGCAAGGTTCTGAACTTGGGGTCTGGTGATGGAAGCTGCTCCGGAGGCACGCCTCGAGCCCACGCTGGGTCGTGCAAGCTTAACTAAGGACGATTCTATCTCTGTGTGTACTTATGTTTGTTTGCCGATGTAACATAGCTGACATATCTTTATCTGTTGCAGTCCAGGCGACGAATACGATCCGGCCAACTGTCTCGTTCTGAACCATGGTTGGCGCGGCATCTTCATCGAGGCGGACACGGCTCTTGCGGAACAGGCACGCGTATCCCTTGGAGATCAAGTTCGAGTGCTGTCCGCGAGTGTGACGCCATCTGACGTAGGACGGGTTTGAAGTGTCGCTGTTTTACTTGACCCTTCATTTTGTTCTTTGGCATGAAAGACAGCAACTTGGCATGCCTCGCCAGCTTCTGTACACAGGACCCCTGGTGGCTTCAGCCGTGCAGAGCCTCTTCGCCAACATGTCAGGGAAGACGTGGCTCGACGTAAACGCACCTCGAAGCTAGGCAGCAGAATCGCAGAGACTTCCGAGTTTTGGGGTCTGGGGAAATGAGTCAAGGGTTCTTTCGACACTTCCTGCGAGAAACCCCCAATCTTATGCCTTGTGAGTTATTAGCCTCATACAGAAAGCAAGGTCAGCCACCCACACCCGCGCACACAACCAGAGTATGTATGTATGTATGTATGTATGTATGTATGTATGTATGTATGTATGTATGTACGCAACGCAGGCAAGTAAGTACGTGCGCAGCTAGTCGGTGGATGATGGTGGATGTGTACCTACATTGTTACATGCATACTTACGTATGTATGTACACACACACATACTCTCTCTCTCTCTCTCAGTCAGTCATGGACCCTAACTTTAAGATTCTTACGCTTCCCCCTCCTACCCTTTTCCCATGTGCTCGAGACGGAGGTCGGCCGGACCTTCTGAAAGTCGATGTGGACCAGGCGGAGCGGATGTCTCTGAAGGGTTTGTTGTTTGGGCGACCGTTGCTATCCGCTATCCATTGCATCGTGTGACTGAGGCAGACTGTGAGTTTCTTGAAGCCTTGCTTGAGATCTTTGAGCCCCTGCTGCTGCATGTGGAGATCAATCCGCTCTTCCCACCACCTTATGTCACTGGCTCTGATTGATGGGCTTGCCGGGGTTGAGTTGAGCTTGCTGATGTCGGTGTCGACCAAGTCTCTACTGACTCCACTGTCAGTGGGGAGACTTCTAAAAGGAACGTCCAGGTCTGGAAGGTGGTCAGTTGAGACTTTGGGAAGACTCCAAAGGGAGGAAAGTTCATGGAGAAGGGAAGCCTGTTGGCGTGAAGAGCTGCTTCTGGGGGTGGTCGGGTCTTTCGGCTGCTGGGCCTTGCTTCCATGTCCAGGTACAACGGTGAGATAGAGAAGCTTTAGTATTTAGAGAGACTCGGTAGTGTCAGTGGCTCCAGGAATATCAAGAACAGTGGCGAGGGAAAGACTTCGCTCTTCCCGTGGAGCCTTGGATACACTGTCGGCGGGAGGCTTTCTGCTTAAAGAGGCATTCTCGGCTTTCTGGTAGCTTCGACGAACCTCAGGAGACGGATCATCATCTAATCGGCTGTTCCTTGCAGTCTTTCATCGAGCGCACGCGACGAAGATGGGGTGCGCGAGCACGCCCGGAGCCTCGGACGGCTTAGGAGGGTAGACTGTTGCCTGCCCCGTTGGACCTGACCCGTAGCAGCACCTGGGGCGATCTGGGTGCTGACGCTAATAGACTAAGCCAAGGAAGCCTACCGACTTTCTCATGTGGAGTTTGAGAATGCGGTGTTGATTCATCCGGACGCAGCAAGCCTCTCGACTGCGGTGGCTGGCTTTGCTATCACCAGGTCATGCGAGCAGCGTTCCGAATCCTGTCCGTGCACTCTGGCGAGGAATCTTGCCCGAATCGCCAGTCAACGAGCAGAGCAGTCAACAAATTCTGGATTTGTACACGGCGGGCTACTTTTGCCATCCTCTGCGTGGCATCCTATCAATGCGGGAGAGCCTGGCATTCTACGATTTCCGCCAGTGGATGGACCTGGAGCAGCACCCGCAAGTCAGAGGAGGGTGAGACACTGAAAAGTCAGTAGAGAAACGGCTCCCTGTGATGTCGCGCGACTAGAACCTTCTAAGACCACGACCCAGATGTATTTTGATCAGTGTTCGCTGGAGGAGAGCGCATGAGACGGTTCCTGCGCCGAGAATGGGCGAAGCCATCTTTGTCGCGAGCAGCCCTTGGCTCCAAGGCAGGGACATTCTAAGTTAAGGGCTTCGACTTCAACCTCTATTCCGTGGTTTGCCGTAGTAGCATCTGGCGACTCCTAGTCTCCTATCTAAGCTTGGTTCCTTCGTTAGCCTCATGCAAGCTCCGAGGCTCATCACGAACTTTGCTTGGCAGGGCTTGAGTAGCTTGCGATGCTTGCGCAGAGACTTCACGGCTTGCTCTGGCCCGAGGATGCAAGATACACACTGAGCTGGCCCAGAGGAGAGGCACTGCCAGAAGGAAAAGAGTACCTGGTTATGTGCATGCATATGCAGGACACTAGTACTAATTACTATGCCTCAGAGGAGCCCCGCATCTGAGGTTGGACTCGGCGCTAGACACTGCCAACGAGCTGATTCGTTTGTCATCCCCTGGAGTGGTGCATGAGACCCTGCGCCTCCCAGTGGCACCGGGGGGTTTGCTGAAGCAATGCACGGGCAGCGGCAGCATGCTTTGCAGTCGTCTCAGGCAGAGAAGCGCTGATTCAGCGAGACATCGCAGCTGGGCTCAGGCCGCCTCCTTGCAGTCATGAGCCTCGTTTTAGAGTATTCGATGCAGGGGCAACATGATTTTCGATTATGCCCTCTGCAGGCTCATGAGAGACCGCATGTGTCTGGCCACGAGCTCAGCACGACCTCCACGCGGCTTGCAGTTGCAACTTGTAGATTGTAGGCTCTTGCAGGCTGGATGCAAAAAGATTGTAGGTTAATGTGATCAGGAATCACTCGTAGTTTTAATGTGCTGATGCGGCTCCAAGGTCATTGACTCCCTGGGCCCGATGGTCCGCGCTTTGGGCAGCTTTGTTGCAGACGCGTTTTTTTGTTTCTGTTGGCGGCGATGAGGGACGTGCCACGACCAGGGATGTCTCTGCGTGGTTGTACGCCGATGTGATTCCTTGATCCCTGCCTCATTGCAAACGAGGAGTGCAAGAGATGAAGCATTGCGAGCAGACATTGGAGAGACTTTCCTGCAATCAACGGTTTGCAAGCCTTCCTGCAACATACGGTGATGGGTTACTATTTTGCACTTCACGCGCGACCGTCATGATGGTCCCCCCACGAGCTATCCTCGCCTTTGTGTGCTACACACCGAAAGCCTACAACCAAGCCATCAACCCCCGCCAAGAGACTCACAAAAGCTCACCGACAAGCATCCTTTCCATCTGCCCAGGCTCAAGAGGCTTCTGCTCGCCATCGCACAGGAAGAGTCCGTTTGGGGAATGCAGCTCCCCGGACTGAAGGGTGGGCAGCACAAGGGCCTCAGATTCGAAGATTTGAGATGATTTGGGGCTTACAGGGATGTCAATGTTATAGCAAAGGCCGTTCTCTATAAAAGCAAAGGTCGTTCTCGATAAAAGCCGAGGCACAAAGCTCAAGCCAGTGCAGAGGGGAGGCCTGGAGCTTGCAGAGGTCTTTGCAGACTTGGTGGCAACCTCACGCCAGGCCCATCAAGCATCTGAACAGCGAGACCTACAAGCTTCGGCGCTCTCTGCACAAGATCTGCCTGCTGGATGCAACTGCAGAGACAGGTCCAGATGTTGGGGAGAGTGCATCAGTGAAACCAGGCTATGCTCCGCCTGGCTCAGCTGTTGAGGAGGAGTGCCTTCCTGGATTCTGCTCTGCACAGTCCCCGAATGTAACGCACCCTTCCGCCCTGCGAGGACATGGATGCAGTTTGGAAAGCTGTGAAAAGGAAGGAAGTGTTTGATCTGGCCGCTGCACGCGCGATTCCAAGATGATCTTGAGACTTCGGGCGGGTCTTGAAGGCTTCACGTGGTCGCGTGGTGCACCTTGTATCTTCGAAATTCCCTACCTCGTTGAAGACCTCGACCGACTTCCGAGGTGCGGAGGCAGAGCGCTTGCGCTTGAAGGTGGCTGGCTGCGAGCTGACCATGCGGCGTTCGGATGTCAAGCAGAATGCCTTGGCGGCTACAATCTTAGAGTACGGCTGAAGAGCTTACAAGTTAGTGGACAAGAAGTGACCTTTCCAAGCTGTTGCATTTCAGACCCGAGACGGTCGCAAGGTTAACGCCGACAATGATGCGCGGGTGCCCTCGAACTAAACTAGCGACAAGAGCTATGTCGATGTGCTTCACAGGAAGCCCTGTTGCTCGCAAGGCTTTTCTGCAGACGGTGCAGGCCAAGGCACGATTCACCGAACGAAACCGTCGGTACAGCTGACTTACATCAGCCACCGGCAGGTGAAAGAAGCAACGGATGTGCTCAATGCATATGCGGAATGGGCTTCCAAGACGGAGGCGAGTTTGATCCTTTGTGCTCGAACCTCAGACTTCTCGGACCCCGGTGTCAATCTCGAAGTCTATTTCAGTGGCAGTTCAGTGGCACTCAGTCGCCGGAGAATTCGCCTTTTTGCTTGGCATGCCAAGGGCTTGACGAGTCCCCCTTCCGCAGGCCACCGGCCTGCAAAGCGCTTTGAGGTAAACTTTTTCGACCAATTGTTCTTGCTATAAACTTGACAAGCAGGTGCTCTTGAGGCGGTGCCAGCGAACCCTATGACGCTTGAAGCACAGAGGCACGAACGTGCTGAGACCCCGCCCATGAATCACTTTCTGCTACGGCCACGTTCGGTGGCCTCCGTTGGAGGCTTCGTAAAGCTCTTCAAGGCATCATCGAAGCCGCTTTGATCACTCGGAAGCGTCCAGGAAGAAACGGCGGCAAGGCGCCGCTCAGGGAGGGGGGTTGGAGTAGCGCATGTGCACGGGACACTTTGGCTAAGAAAGCAGTATTTGTCCAAGGCCTTGTTCGGTTGACTTGCTCTTTTAGGAACTGCAACCAGATGCAACGCCGAGCGTTGGGGCGGTGTGTAGTTGTACTCTGAGCACGAAAGAGGCAGACCGGGAATGTTGAACAGCGGCTGCATGGCTGTACTCATTGTGATTCCCGTCTAGCGAGGCTGGCTCGCCTACCTCTGCACCCCTGGCAGAGGAGCAGCGATGACAGTCCGGCATGACCGCAGAACCACGATATTGGCAGCTACTATATACGTGAGCTTGGCAAAACTTCAGACTACTCCCACGCTCGCAGACTGACTAGCACCTGGACCCCATGCAAGGCTTGCGCTGCTTCCTGTCTCGTTGCCAGGAGCCCAACGCACAACCTGAGGATGAAGCAGCTAAGAGACATTCCGCTCCCGCTGTATCAGCCGGGTACCTGGCAGCTGGCAACCGCAACATGCTTGAGAATCAAAACAGGCAAGCACTTTGGCGACTGCTGTGCATAAGTGTAGTACTGGCAGTATGTAGCAACAACCCTCGCTGATAGCCCGGGATATGAGTACAGATGCTGATCGTGATAACAACATTCGTACTCGTAGCAGCTGGTCTTGCCAAGTCGATCTCGGGCCGGCGGCTGACCATTCACGGAACTGCAACGTTTGCCAAAAGAATCGCTGTTTGAGATTCGGACGGTGGCGGCCGCCGACAGTACTGTACCAGGGATATCGTTCGGGACATCCACCAGGAAAGCACTCTGCACTTGGTCTGGCATGAGCAGAAAGGTTCCGGTTGGTCAGTGTCGTCTTTGCGTCGCTTCGGGCTTTCGTGAGCGATCTTTTGGTATATGGGACTTTCCAAAAATAGGGGGTACCTTATTTTGGGGTCCTTATAATAAGGATCCTAGTATTTAGGGTACTATATTAGGGTCCCCATTTTCGGAAACCCCCATATGGCCCGCCAACTTGCAGTACCGGTTGCCATTCCAATGGCTCTATGGGTTGGACCGCCGCTCCCAAGCTTGATCGTCGCGCGGCTCCCGCTGTGGCGCAGTGTGCCAAAGGATTCAAGCCACGTTCTTTCGACATTCCGGCGCAGCCCCGTGCGCCGCGGGACACCGAACTCGACGGCATTCGTGAAGTTGGTATGATGCTCCCGCCACGCCCGTGCATGTTTTCGGGAGGTTTGGGGTGGGATCGCACTCCCGCCGCGCGGACCCACACTGGAAGTCTTGGCTTTTTGGTGTGTGGTCCCGAAATCCGTTCTTTGCGTTTTGACGAAATGCGAAATCCGCTACAACTGCGAGTGTTGAAGACTGGATGTGTTTATTTCAAGCTTCAACTTCAGGTTTTGAAAGCCTCTTAATTAATACGTAAGCTTCTGAGCTGCTTGTGATGGAGAGGTTCTGGGTGCGGCTTAAGCAGCCTCGGTTGGCATGCAGGGCTTGCGGTTGTGATTTCTTAGTCTTGTCGTACTAGTAACAGGGACGTGCATGCAGGGTGGGTTACCAAGGTCCGCAAAAAGGACCAGAGGGCGAACGTGCGTATTAGCGAAATAGCGTCCAAGTAGCGGAGGACTCGGGGAGAAGGAGTAGAAGAAGAAGACAGCGGAACATCATCGACAGCAAGCCTCCCTCGGGAACATCATTCCGAATCATTCCTGCACCGACCCTGAATGTCACTAGAACTGACTGACTAAAACTGCCCACATCAACGTCCGAAGCTCGAAGCTTTGGCCCAGGAACCTGGGAGCCCACAGGAAGCTCAGGCCGCCTCGTCGCGACCAACATCTCCCGAGGTGGCCATGTGCTGCGGAAGGGCACACGAGTCCTCGTTTCTGTGCCCAGAAGCCGTTGCCAGGTACGAGCACGATCTGCAAGGCCCTCACCGAGGACCTTCAAGACGGCCGATCCGTATCGGTTCAACACATCCTGAAGGCCATACCCCGCTCATGTCTCATTGGCTTGCAGTTTACCAGCACTTCGCATGTCAGCCTCAAGTCTTCCAAGATACGAGCCAACCTGTTGACCAGGAAATGACCAGGCTTTCGAGTAGACCTTGGCAACCAACACGGTGGCCACTGGCCTAAGGCCAAGCAGTGCTCAGGCTCGGAAGCAAGTGTTTCTCTATGTTTCTCATTTCATTCTAAGATTATTGTCCTTGCTTCATTCTTGATTGGGTTTCTGTTTGCCGGATCAGTTCCTAAGCACGTCGTGCTGATGCCGGATCCATCGGTGGCCTCTTGCTGACTCTTGCTTCCCTGCCAGTTTAGCTTAAGGCCCTTCCCCTTGCGTGATCATGCTCCGAGCGGAAGGGAAAAGTTTGGCACGCACGCGTAGCCAAACACAACAGCCAGGGCAGGCTCAAGCGAGTCCTGACCTTAGGATGGGGACTCTCAGGATTGATGTCTGCAGTTCTGCCTCACTTGAGTTTAACCGGTCTGGTCAACTTCATCACTGGCTCAACTTTCCCGGTCTCTTCTGCAGCACTTAGTGCCGCTTGGTGGCACTGGGATCCTGGTTCTGCGTCAGGGCAGTTGGCTCAGTTGGCTCACGGCATGATGTGTCTCGTCTACTGGTCATGGAGACGTTGACGTGGACTATGCCGTCGGTGTCGGGTGACGATCGAACTTTTCCCACCATCACCACGGACATGTAACTCATGTAACCAATGAATAGCTCAGGTACTTGGTTCATCCTGTTCACCTTCAGCAGCTTGCCATGCGCATTGTGCGAATTCAGCCATCTGCAGGAAGGCGTCACAGCACTTTTATGCATTGCTCACGGCTCATGGCAACAGCGGATCTTGGACCAATATCTGCAGCGGCAGTGCGGCTGAATTCATGCCACAGCGCCCCTAACAGCTAGCTTGTCATTGGAAGGTTGCATCATGGAACACTGTCGGACGCGTTGATGCCAGGCACATTGATGAGTTCTGAGATTCTGGTTCAGGATCATTGAGGTGCGGCATTATGCAGCTGGCGAACGAAGCACTTGCAAGAAAAAAGATCCCGCTAATTGTGCATGAGTCCAGCCATTTCCTGCCGGCATGAATACCAGAGACTCAGAGCATTGGAGTGATTTGCTGCAATCTACCTTGGCTCTTTCACGCTCCGCTTAAGTTTTCAGAGTTTCACATCCGGGCAACTATCGTCGGGCGAATCGTGCCACCTTGCCGCACATTTTCTGGAATACTGGTCGCGAGGGGGCCACAAGGGCAAAAGACGACATAATTATTCGCAAGGAGAGCTCTCTCTATTTTCGTAGATCTGTATATGAAGTGCCAGAGCTCAAGAAAATGAACGTCGAGTTATGATCTTCATCTGTAAAGTATCACTGCTCAGTATCTCTTTCCACTAACCGAGGCTACAAAAGCCGGCCTGCTTTGACCTTGCACCGTCAGCGGCAGACTTGGATCCTGCCAAGAGCTACGTTTCAAGCTGAGATCGGGGTCGCGTGCCACTTTGCGGCTTTGGACAAGCTCTGCAGTGATCTCGGCAGGCTAATTCATCGAACCTCTTTGGGCTTCCGCATCTCGCACCAGCCCTGTCAGCCTCCAAGCCAGATGAAAGCAGTGGGCAGAAGAGCGGCTCACCTTTGCTCTGCGCCTTCCCGTTCCCAGAGGCCTGTAGTCGCTTCAGCGAAGCCCTTGGAGGCTCAGGCGCGGCATTGCCTTTCCCAGATTCAGAGCCCTTTGTTATCATTTGCATAGTTGTTTCTGTAGTACTAGCAACAACGACCACAACAGCCACGAACGCCACAACCGCCGCGAGACACCACGAAGCCATGACAACGACTCCGACTGCGACTTCGACTACGACGATCCGATCCTGCTTCTGCTTCTGCTTCTGCTTCTGCTTCTGCTACTGCTACTACTACTACTACTACTACTACTACTACTACTAACGACTAACGACTAGCTACTACTACTACTACTACT